GGGGCCTCATGTATAACGCCGTGCGTAGGATTCACGTTGGAAGGTTGCTTACGTAGTAGAAATCCGAAAAATAGGTACATAAACGACTCGAAAAGCGGTGCAGCTTTTGCGGGCTTCACGTAACGCCCATATTTGCCTATAAATAGTCAAAGAAACGCCCTTTCATTCATTCATTTTGACTGACTGCATGGAGAAGATCGCAGGAAATGACGACAGAACAGCTAAAAAAGACATCTCACACCGTGTCAGATTTTGGTTATTTTGGGGAGGTCGAGATAAATCATATTGTTTGGTGGATGCAGTTTGAACCAGAGTAGCAGCATGGAGGTCGGATCGTCACCAAAATAAATAAATAATTGGTCCGAAAAAGGTTCATGACAAAAAAAATACACATAGCCTTCCTCAGGCAGTGTGTTTGTACCGGGGACAGGAGACCCCCCCCTTGATGAGAAACTCTAAGAAATTATCGGGGAATGCCTCCGGAGTGGAGTAATGACGACTGGATCTGAATTATTTGTTTGTATTTGGTGGTTTGTGTTACGGCTGTCGATCTGCAACTATATATCCATAATCCACCAGTTAAAGGAAATACAACTAATGTGTTGTGTTATATTAGCTGTACAATTTACCACATGGTGTTCTTAGTTTCCATACCTCCTGTGTTTTATGAGCGACTTATCAAGTCTTAGCAAACGGCATAAAACATGATTAAACATGGTAGTATATAAAACCATGTATAGAAAACATTTCATAACATTATAAAAACATATCCGTATTTATTTACTTCTCCAAGTTATGTTTTTGTGTGCACTGAGGAGTCGCAAACAGGCGTTTGTTAAATCATTTTAAGATTGGCTTTGATCAATGTTTGAAAAGTGAATTCTTCATATATGATAAATGAGAGGTAACATTTTATTTATGGTATTATTTCAACATATTTCTCTCCATTCTTCCTTCTGCCAACGGTGTCGCAGTTTCTCGTCTCTCCCGTTTTTGTGCTTAGTGCGCATGCATGGGTTAGAGTTTGCGTGGAGGACCGCACGTTTTCCCGTCAAGTTAGTATTTTATAAATCGCAAACATTGCGTAGAAACTGGTGTACACCATTTTTTGAGCGTATATCCCTTTATAAATGAGGCCCCTGAACAGTTGAAATAACATCCCTAATATTCATCTGGCTGCTACTTAGAAATTATTTATCTATTTACCTATATATGCTATTTCAATAACTTGCATATAGACTCTTATTGCACTATTTAAAACAATTTTTCTTTTTGTATTACTATTGACTATTTACTTGCACTATTTTTTCTGTGTATCTGTGTTTTGTGTTGCTCTGTTGGAGAAACCTGTGGCATCGGCATAACTACACTGTAGCTATGTTCGTATGACTAAATAAAGAACCTTGAACCTTGAAACTTGACAAGAAAGTCAAGGATCAGCAAGTTTTGTGTGCAAAGTGTATTTGACCAAAAAAGGGAATACTGAGGCCACATATTATGTTAATGTTGTTCTTATTTCTTACCGTTTCAAAGAAAATCTCCATCATGCGACTTCTCTTTTCATCCAAGCTTAGTCCTTTCTTCTTTGACTGTAACAGATAGTTTCATGTCACATCAGGGCAGGGTCATTTAAATAAGCAACTTATATGCAAATTTACTACACAGTCATTTAATAAGTGAAAGTGGCAGTAAAAACAGCATGAGGGACTGATAAACACCATTCAGCAAGGATCAAAACGTTACTATATAGTGAACCATAAATAACATTAGCAGCACTTTAAAAAGTTCAGGTTTAATAAATGCTGTGTTGTGGGCTCATTAATGCACAGGTCAATGCATTATTATTATTATTATTATTATTCTACTTTGTATTTATTTCTTATGACTATCATTTCTCACTGCTATGAGAAAACAAAGGCTACTTTATTATGGGTTGTTTTAATCACTACAGTGCACTACAATTATCTGCCAACAAATCTGACGTTTTCCTTTCCTTAATTACCATGCATCATATTATATTTTAATTTCAACTCTTAATGAACAATAAAGCATGTTGTCATAGCTAATCCAACACCTGCTTTTAATGTGTTTATAACAAGGGTTGCTTGCAGACCACAATGGACATAAACCTTCGGCGTGCTTTGACCATAGACTGTATATATTGTTTTGAAGTATGTAATGACAATAGTGCAGCGTTATTAGTGAGTTTATCAAATAAATCTTATCAATAAATTGTATCAAATAAAATCATTAAATAAAAGCTATCAGTGTTGTTGTGTTACAGCTTCCGGGCACCAAGGGCAGCACCGAGCCACAGTGTACTCTGCGAGGGAGAAGAAATTATGGATTTTACAAGGTTTAAGTTTCTGTAAGCTAATGGACACGACCCAATAAGTCTTGTTTTGATTATTTTACACTTTATTTAATACAGTTTATTTTGTACACCCCGTGGATGTATAAAGAGAACCTAATAAGGTCCTAAGTGTGATGGGTGAAGTGCTAGAAGTTAGCACTAAAACGTTAACGCTAAGGTTATTGTGCTAAGTGTATTCATTATAAGTATATGATCAGCTTTAAAACGTTAATGCTAACTCAAAAACATAATGTGATTAAACGTTGACAGGTTATTTCCGGTTGATGGCTGAAGCTGATGTTACCGTTAGCTGGCAGTTTGCTTGGTAATGCTACCTTTAACGTCCCTATGAGCACTTGCAGGAAAAGGTAATCGTCTACTTACCATTTTGTAACGTTAGTCGAATCAGAAACAATCACTGACAACAGGATTTTCCGTTACAGGATGCTATAAAGCGCTGTTGTATGTTACTAAAGAAAGAAATCTTCCCAGTACTGAATTTCCCGCGGAACGTTGTCATGGGGCTTCTGCTGCCTTCGCTGATCGTCGTAAACTGGAAAATATACCGCGATGTACACCAGACAAATATATATATGTTGTTTTAACTTAATGTATTCTTTAAGATACAACATACATGTGATCTTTTCCATATTAACATGTTTGAGCGAAAGAAAACCTTGAGAAACGGTCAGGTTTGCCACCGTTTTGGATCGTTTGTGTCGTGTTGTGATCAGTAATGGTTATTTCCAACTGCATAGAAGGCAGCATTATTTTAATGGGGAGGAGCGATGTTGTTTGACTTGAACTCGTGATTTTCTGACGCCATCTACTGTCTAATAAAAACATTGTTCAAATAAAAAATTACTTATGCCACTTATTACAACAAATATCACATGCCTCTTCTTTCCTTTCCCTATTTTGTGTTACTTGTTGTAAAATGTATTTGTATGCCAAGACATTTACTGCAACTTTTAAGATGAAAAATAAATACAACTGTCATTCCTGCCCTTACAGATACAGTAGTATACACAACAAAAAACATCAAACACAATATTATTTCTTATGGGCACTTTAATTCCATTTGGCATTACAAATAAAAACAAGACAAAATGACAACAAATAATTTAACAGGATTTTGTAGAAAATGGATGACCAAATTCAGGATAACAAGTACTGAAAACCGTGCTAGGGCTATAGGAGCACAGTGCATTTTGTACAACATACACCAAAACTGTTGGAATACATATTACATCCTTTTTTGAGGATCAAATTGTTTTTACTACAACATGTTAGTGGTTTTAGAAATGTTTGTAAGACATGAGAGAACATGGATAGGAGTGAGATGATCGCAGCCCTGCTTAATGATGTTTTAATGTTTAATTAAAGCTGCCTATTGCAACATGATGAGCAAACCTTTACATTGATGCATCTGAGGACTGAGTCTATCTAAACATGTTTTGTTATTTACTCAAATTCCGCAATAAACAAAATGATGTTTGCACATAATCACAGCATATTTGTAAGTCAACATGTCAAGTGGCTTTTGTTTTATACCTTAACTGATCACAACACAATCACACAAACACACTATAGTACTGTATGTGTCTTTGTTACCAGCATACTGTAATAACCACACGTGTGTTTTAAGTGATGACAAATTACATTGACTTAATTTTCACACATCAATAAAGTATTACAATTGAAACAATGATTCCATTCAAAGTTTGTTTAGGTGATTGTGTTGCCAGCTTGTAACATATGAATATATTGTGCACATTAGCTCTTCTGGTGTTTATTAGTAAAAGCAGCATGCTCAACGATGTCTAATCATGCTTTAAATACCCTTCTACCTACAGTAGGTGAAATATTTCTCCTTTATAGCTAACAGGCAAAATGTGAGGACTGTTAAGAGCATTAGACAGAACACCACTATAAATAAAATTCCCATTTTCTGATGACTAAAATACACATTTACTTTAATTTCAATTGTACTAAACACAGTGTCCAACCAGTATGTTTAAGACTGAGTGCAATTGCATTATTTTCCAGTTTTTCTGCCATATCACAGCAAATCAAAGGTCTAACATAAAATACTAAAATGTTGTATCTTTATGAAGATGGAATGTGAAAAAGATTATGGATGACCCCTCAAAGCATCAATCAGTAGCAGACATCTGTGAATATTTTGGATCCTCTCACAAACAATTCTGTTTCTTCAGCGTTGGAGGTCAAACAGGATGTCACGTCACACAGATGGCACAACGACAGCATGATTCAGAGATGAATGGGTAAGTGCAAATCTGCCAGTCGCTCCACACGAATGAGTGCCTGTGTGTTTATGTACACTGTACAGTTTTGTGCGCTGAGAGAGGAAGGCTACTGCAGGTAGCGGTAGACTTTGAAGCAGTGGTTGCCCGAATCTGCAACCACAACATGTCCATCAGAGGTGAGAGCGAGTCCCTGAGGACCGTACAGAGGGTCGGCTGAGGTGTTGATGTAAGACAGGAAGGAACCGCTGCCGTCAAACACCTGAGGGAGAGAGAGAGAGAGAGAGAGAGAGAGAGAGAGAGAGAGAGAGAGAGAGAGAGAGAGAGAGAGAGAGTAGAGTAGAGAACGTAGTAGTAGTAAGTAGTAAGTAAGTAACGTAAGTAACGTAAC